GAGTCTAGGAGGCTGAAGTTTTAGGGTAATGACCCCCTACCCACGCTCAACCTTGCCCATTCAAATTTAGCATTCTCGCGCTCTCGGTTACCACCTACGACCTTGTGCAAATTTTGGCGGGTAAACTATTAACTCGGGAATCACGGAAAGATATTCATCCTTCAAGATTTCGAATCCAGCTTTCATGCGGTGGTGCGTGAAATTTTTAACTGTTTTCCAATGTTTGAACTATTTTTGCACAGACTAAAGTACAAGGTAGTGAAAATCATTAACAGGCAATCGTTTGATGGGCTAAATTGCACAAAACGCATGATCGCGCCGGCTAGTCTAGTGCGCGTTGCCATTTATTAGAACAGAACTGCTTTTTTTTTACGCTGATCTATACATTAAGGATATCCAAAGTGGAAATTGACTTCTTTCGTCCGATGTTGTCGGCGGTTTCATCCTTTTTGTATGACTTGCCACGAACTGCAACTAGAATTTGCGTTGCAAATAGGATGCAGTCATATCAGGAACCAGTCAGCCGCTGTGCTTTTCAGTAGCTGTCGGCTCAGGCTGAAAGAGTGGGATGAATTGCTGCGGGGCGCCATGTGTGATTTGATTTCAGGTGACGCATTGGATGCGTTGAATTTGCGACGTTACTGCTGCAGAAGGATGCTGCTCTCGCATGTGGACTTGATTGTCAAGCTGCTCGACTATCATCCGCTCGAGAAATGATCCGTTGTTTGCTCTGTTGAGCTCTCTCATCACTGTGCTTTTGATCACTGCAGCAACTGCTTTCTCGCTTGAAAAGTAAAGCCTTTGTGCCTGTGCTCGTTTGTGTCGTTAGCTGTCGCACTTCTGCGATCTCAGCTCTTCGGAATTCTTAAAAGTTCGGGATATTGCACTGTCCGGACAGGTGTCGTCGGCACTCTTTTCGGCAGTAGAAGGAGTGGGATTTTACGTTTTCCCGGCGGCCCTTTCGGGATGGACCGGTTCATGTAGCGCCGGGATCAGCTGGTGGCGCAGGTTTGGTGCCAGATCGACTTTTTTGTTAAAATCAGTATGACAAAACCTCAGCAGTTCGTCCCCTGCAGGAGACCGAGGCGCTTGGAAATAGATTGAGCTATTGCATCCTGCTAGCAACAATCACGCGCTTCTGATGTGTTCTTTCAAGGGTTTCGTCGGGGGGAGGGGTTGATGGGGAATTCCAACTCCCTTCAATGCATTCCCAGATTTAGGCAGCCTGCCGTGGTCGGATGCGCTTTCAGTGAGATGAAATCGAGTGATTACCCACCGCCAAACTATGAGGAAGCAAGCGGGAATTCCTCGTTTTCGGGAGCACCAGCAACGGCTCGGACGATGGGCCTGACGGATGGCAGTTTTCATGGGGCGCCATTTCGTGTGAGTCTAATTTCATCCACATCGCCAGTGTTTGGCCAAAATCCGATCGAAACGGATTGCCCATTTTGCCAGGTTTGTGTTTCGTTTCTCAGACTGTTCTTCTGGGGCTTTTTTTCCCGCATATCTGTGGGTGGTCCGTCGTGTCATTCGTTGACTCGCATCGCACATGAATAACTCCAAGCAGCGGCGACAAGAAGTTGAAGACCGTTTGTAATTTACAGCAACTAGCCGATGCAGTTGTGCGTTTTGTGCAGTTCTGATCAGCCACCGAGCTCCCATGCGTCTGTTCATGAAACATATTGCATACGGAATTTTAATAAGTTTTCAATTATGTTCTGAAATTTTGGCTTTCCATCTTATCTGGTTCACGAGTTCGAAAATTTCCTGCCGGAATCGGTGTTTGGAACATAAACGTGTGTGGGAAGCGACATTAAATGCCTATGTCTGCAAATAGATATGAAGCATCTTCGTGACATTTTATCTTTTTACCTCGTTTGGTTCCCAGGTTAGTGAATTTACTGCCAGGGACTTCCAGTTTTCCGTACATGGGACCTTAGCGTACGTGAAAGTTGAATTTGGTTGCACATGGTTGGGGAGCATCCTCCTAAAATCGCCACTTCTTAGCTCTTCTCTTTGTCAAGCTGGCTAAACCATGGACAAAAATTTGAAAAACATACACACGCAGGGTACTGCTTAGCACAGAACGCATAAAAACGGCTATTAGAAGAGCTGTTGCGCATTCTTTTTGCTCTCTGGCATTTGCTAAGTTTCTCTTTCGGAAATTCGCATAAAATAAGCGGCCCATACGCTATGGGCTTTCTGTGTTTTCGTATCGGGAACTTGATGATTATTGTGTGCTTATTTTAGTCTTCGATGGGCAAGGCGAGCTGCTCCGTACTACTCCTCAGGCCGGTTTTCTTGAAATGAAAATTTGGTATTTAAGCCAATCCAACGGGGTTTCCCGTGTGTTGCCATCCGCATTTGTTGCATTTCTGTTGATCC